CTTTAATCCACGTAGAATTTTTTTTTATATGGTACAAGGTAGCATCATTTTCTTATTTTTGATATCCTATTGTCCCAGAACCATTTATTTAACAGTCCTTTGTTTCCCTACCAATCTATATTGACTGCTGTGTTACATACAAAGTTTCCATATATGCATGGGTTTATATCTGGACTACTGTTCCACTGGTCTTTCCCTGGGCCAATGCCACACTATAACCCTTCCTTTTCTCCTCCTCCTCCTTCTTCAGGAGCATCTTTTCTAAGTACTACTCCTTTACTCCTCTCAAATGTAAATGTGTTCTTTTTTTTTTAAAGATTTTATTTATTTGACAGAGACAGAGCGAGAGCAGTGGAACACAAGCAGGGGGAGTGGGAGAGGGAGAAGCAGGCTTCCCGAGCAGGGAGCCCGATGTGGGACTTATCCCAGGACCCTGGGATCATGATCTGAGCCGAAGGCAGACGCTTAATGACTGAGCCACCCAGGTGCCCTGTAAATGTGTTCTTAAGAAAGGATCTAGGGGCACCTGGATGGCTCAGTGGGTTAAATGTCTGACTCTTAATTTTGGCTCAGGTTTTGATCTCGGGATCCTGAGATGGAGCCTTGAGTTGGGCTCCACCCTGGACATGGAGCCTGCTTAAGATTCTCTCTCTCTTGGGGCACCTGGGTGGTCCAGTCAGTTAAGCGTCCAACTCTTGGTTTTGGCTCAGATTGTGATCTCAGGTGGTGATATGGAGCCCCGAGTTGGGCTTGAAACTTGAATTTCTCTCTCCCTCTCCCTCCCCACCCCACGTCTAAAATAAATAAATACATCTTAAAAAAAATTATCTCTCTCCCCTCTCCCTCTCTCCCCTTTTAAAAAAAAAAGAGAGAGAAAAGAAAGGATCTAATGTCAGTCAGATGGGGAAAGAAGAGGGCTACATTTTAAACCTCATCTCTGTGAATGAAAACACTGGGTCCCTTGATGGCATTTCAGATACTAGTGACTTAGATATTTAAGAACTTTCCTGGGTCCTCTGAAACCACACTATTATAGAGGAAGACCTGCTTTAAAGTAGCTATTTCATATTATTTGAGGCCTACTTTGGGTATATTTGGAGGAGTTAAAACACACTTCTGGAGTTGGGCCAAACGACAGAGAACTCAATTAGAGCTAAGAAGTAAACTGCAGGTTTAGGGTAAGTTGAGTGGTCAGCCAGGAAAACCAGCCCCACCCGGGGCCGATGGAACCCTCTTTGGCTGTCCTGGGCACAGAGAGAAGCCAGCTGACCCTCTGGAGTGGACGGTGACGGACGTGGTTGAGTATTTCACCGAGGCTGGCTTCCCCGAGCAGGCAACAGTTTTTCAAGAGCAGGAAATCAATGACCAGTCTTTACTGCTCATGGAGCGCACTGATATGCTGACTGGCCTGTCCATCCACCTGGGTACTACATCAAGATGCTGCAGCAAGGCCACTTTGAGGACCCCGATGGCTTTCTAGGCTGAGCACCCAGCCTTCCCCCCTGGCCCAACCCATTCCAGCCCCCATCTATCCAAGACCCCCCGAGTCTAGGAGCTAGAGGGGGACAACCTCAGCCCTCATAAAATATTCCAGTGAGGGGCTTTCCTTCCTACTCATCTCTTCCCTGTGTTTCCCCAGCATACACACATTTGGCCCCCAGCACATCCTGTACTCCTTGATAGAGGAGTGTGGGGTGGGACAGGGCCTGCTCATTGCACCCCAGGAGGCCAACCCCCCCAAATCTAGGACATTTTGGGGGGAAAATGGGAGCTTCCCATCTCCCCTAGATCCTCTTCAGTTCAGCCAGATGTTTCCTATATGTTTTGTTCTGCTTGTTCATTTTGGTGGGTGGCCTTTCCTCTCTCCCCCGCCACCCATGCCCTAACTGGGTCTGCCCCTGGCCTCCAGCCCCTGGGAGCAGCTGCAGTGGGGTCCCTGTGTCTTCCGTAACCCTCTCCTTTCTTTCTGTTGGTTGTCACTCCAGCTGTCTGTATTGCTTTTTAATATTGTACTGAAGGTTTTTTAAATAAAGTTAAAAAAAAAAGTTGAGTGGTCAGAAAGCAACCATATCTTGAGGCTGCTGTGCTCGCTTCCCATTTGTGTGACCGAAGAAAGTTTACTTAATGGCCCCAAGTCCGTTTCCTTGAACAAATGGGATTATTAACATAAACCCCACCACAGGGCAGGTGTGAAAATATTAAATACAATTATACAAAAGCATGTATATCACATAGAAAATGCTTCCTTAGCATTGAGGCAGTAGAGTCAGAGCCCAAGTTCCAAATCCTGTCTGTTATCTACTAGTTTTATGACCTTAAAAAATGATTTCTTAGCCACAGTTGCCTATTTGTTAAGAGAAAATATGGCATTATTTTCTATTTTTTGCATTTCTGAGCTTTCTTGTGAGTTTTAATTTGCATTTACCTCAGATAGAGTCTCCTTGTTCCTGGGTTCACCAGAGCTATCTAGACAAATGACTGATTTCAGGACTGGGATGGGAAAGTATAAGATGAAACGTGAATATCTTGTGGTATCAGAAAATATGGAAGCACTAAAAGAATGCTATTAACATGTCAAAAGGACATAAGATCCGGATGCCTGGGTGATTCAGTCGGTTAAGGGTCTGCCTTGGGCTCAGGTCATGATCCCAGGGTCCTGGGGTAGAGTCCCACGTCAGTCTCCCTACTCAGCAGAGAGTCTGCTTCTCCCTCTCCCTCTGCCCCTTGCCCTGCTAATGCTCTCTCTCGCTCACTCTAATAAATAAAATCTTTAAAAAAAAAAAAGAAAAATTAAGAATAAAAATATAAAATATATCCACAAAGAGACGTGTTCAAGAAAAAGAAATCTTTACTCTGCAAGGCTATTGTGAGGACTGTGCCTGGCACGGAGCATATATGCTCACTAGCGGATGCCACTGCCAGTTTCCAGATCTGAGAAATAGATGCACTTCTCACAAGAAGTCACCAGGGGGCATCTGAAAGCCAAGAAACAAAGTCCAGCTTGCCTGAGCCTGTACTGCTGTGATGGGGGTTGTCCACCTTTCCTTACCCAGAATGCACTCCTCCACCCAAAAGGGAAAAAAAAAGCTTTGTCTGCTAACACTGGGGAGAATCCATCCACAGCAGACCAGGCTTTGGGCCACCTGAGAGCTAGCCTGTGTCCTTCTGTTTGGATCTGGATTTCAGGGCAGCTGTCAAGGGTCACTGCATCCATTACAACCAGGCCTACCAACTCTGGAGACCTGTGAAAAGGGGCTTATGGATGTGATGGCAGTGAAGAGCGAGTCCTGGAAGAGGAACTCACAGACATACCTGCTGTGTGAACTCAGCCATCTCCTCCTTCATCCTGTCTTCTTCATCTGACTTCTTAGAGGTTCTCTCCAGACCTCCTCGGATCCAGTGTTTCCGAGCTCTGCAATATGTCCCTTTGGGTCTACTGACCTTATCACAAATCACTCCTTAAAGGGAACTAGTCTAGTCCCAGAGGTCTCAGGACCATGTGGTGTAGTGGAAGGCACAGGTCTTCGAGACAGACTAAGCAAGGTCCAAATCAAGGGTCTGGTACTTAATTTCTCGAACCTCAGTTTCCTTATCTATAAAACAAAATAATTCCATTTCCTTTTTAAGAGTGTTGTTGGGATTAAATATATAAATATAGTCCCTGGTATAGCATAGATGCCCAGTAATATTCAATGACTAACAGTATTTTATTTTCTCAATTTAGGCATATACAACAGGTAGAAAAAAATGGATTTAAAATTAAGATAAGGGGCGCCTGGGTGGCTCAGATGGTTAAGCGTCTGCCTTCAGCTCAGGTCATGATCCCAGGGTCCTGGGATCGAGTCCCGCATCGGGATCCCTGCTCAGCGGGGAGCCTGCTTCTCCCTCTGCTTCTCTCTCTCTCTCTGTTTCTCATGAATAAATAAATAAAATCTTTAAAAAAAAAATTAAGATAAACTGTGTTAAAGTTTCTGTTCCCTATGACCCTTGGCCAATCAATTCATCTGAGTCTCACTATCTGCATGTCATAGTGAGGTTATAAACATTATGTGAGAATATACCTTTAAGACTGCTGTGAATCATACTGTTACCCCAGCCAGAAATTGACTTCTTCCCTTAAATAAATCCAGACCTTAGCCTACATTGCTCAGCTCAAGTGTTGTATCCTCCAAGAAACCCTTTCTCTAGTGATCTCTAAAATATAAAACTCTGGAAAGTGTTAAAAAGAATGATGAAGGTCTAAATGTACTGAGAAAGAACTCAGAGATTCTAAGTGAAAATAAAACATGGAGTACTTGCATTATGACTCCATTTTTATATCTAGGGGAAAAAAGAGGTGACCATGTTATATCCTTGCTTAAAACTCTTCCGTGGGTTTCTTGCCAACCAAATGAAATTCAGGCTCCTTACCTGGTACTCAGGCCCCTTCACTATTTGGGCCCCGCCAACCTCTCCAGCCTCATCTTCTACCGACCAGCCTCACCATCCTATGAGCACTGGGTTCCTGCTATGACTTAAAATGCCCTTTACTATCTCTTCCTCTAGGTCTCAAACTGTAGCATGCATCAGAATCACCTGGCCAGCTCTACCCAGAGAATTTCTGATTTGGGGCTGAGGTGGGGCCTAGGAATTTCTATTTCTAACAAGTTCCCAGGTGATACTGATACGGCTGTTAAGGGACCACACTCGGATGGCCACTGCTGTTACAATGATAGGATTCAACTTTATCACCTGTACATGGACCAGTCAACCATACCACTTTGCCTAGGACTGAAAGTCCCATGTAGCAGAAAACCCCTCAGTCCAAGGAAAACTGAGACAGCTGGCTTCTCTACCTGTATAAGAATCTTTCCCAGATTGCTGCTTAAGGGATAGTTTCTGCTAACAAGCAGTCTTTCTCTACGGCCAGGCCAACAGGAAATGCCTGAGAAAGGAGTTCCATCAACTTGAATGGCTTTTTGCTGGAGTAAGAATATTTAACAAAGTTTTTCAAATTCAGACTCCAAATACATTCTCTTTATTCCCTTCAGAGAACAAGCTTTAGTCCTCTGATCCTTGTAAACACTTAACACAATGGTATGAGATCAAACTGTAAGCATCCATATCCTTGCCCTGTGCTGTTGGGGTGAGTGTATATAGGGAGCATGTGTGAGCTGCTTCTTCAGTTCACATTAGGTCTTGTCATGGAATGATACTTCCACATGGGCCAATGCAGCTGATTTTCTGTGACTTCCAAAGGGTGCCCCAAACAATAAGGGGACATGGTCCTTGAGAAGGACTGATGATTATTTTGCTCTTTGTCGATTAGGGCCAATTTTTTTCATTAACTGGGAATCCTTTTCCAAGGAGTCAGAGATCAGAGAGCTGATAGCGTCGCACAAGACCATCTCGACAGCATGTGTAGATCTGCTTCTCCCACGTGGCTACCTGGAACACAAGAGTTCACAGCTCAAAGGAAGCCTGGGAGTCTTCCATTTCAAAAAGATAGAGCCTTGTCATTGATCCCCATTAGTACAAGTGAGTCTAAAAAGCTCTGCTGACTTCAAAGACAAGAGAAGAATTAGATCCATGATAGGTATAGCCGGCTAGGATCCACGGCACTTATGAGTCCAGAACAGAGAAACTAATTAGCCAAGTAGACAGCAGGCCCATTAGTGTGGTGCATAGCTGAGGGCAGAGGGTCTGGACCTGGGAAAGGAGATGATCCACAGATGGGCTGGCATATCCCTGAACCTTGTAAAATTATATTCAAAGAAGTTCTCAGTATGTGCCTGTCTGAGGAGGATTTCGTCGACTTCTCAGAGAAGTCTGAGGCCGCAGCTGCGTGGAGGAGCGAGGCACGTGCTGGGGCTGCGCGACAGCAGCAGGGGCTGCGGTGGGTGGCACCGAGACTACGCAGCTCCCAGTGGGGAGGCTCCACTACCACTGCCACCTTGCTTGGTGAGCACATGGTGTCAGTAGGCTGCCAGTACCATGGCTGGCCCAGCATGGCATCACCCCCTCCAAGACTCCTGGAGTTTCTGAACCTCCTCTCCGGGATGGCGGGGGGTGGCGGGGGAGCTGGCATGCTGGCATTTTAGGCTGTGTGGGAGCCCACGTCTTCTTCACTAATGCTGACTACGACCACTTCTTTGAAGTTGTGCACCCTCTTGTCCCTGCCATAATGATCACCGCTGTGGAGCCCCGCTTTCCACTTTTGGGCTGATTGGCTACTGTGCCCCAATCTGGGAAAGCTGCTGTAGACTTGCCATGTTTGTCATCATCCTACTCTTGGTTTTTGTTACAGAAGCTGTTATAGTGGTTTTGGGATACATTTACAGAGCAAAGGTGGAAAAATGAGGTTGATCAGAGCATTCAGAAAGTGTGTAAGACCTACAGTGGAACCAACACTACAATGGAACCAACTAGTCAGACTGGAATAATAGGGACTGGTTCAAAGAAACCAAAAACCACAGTGTCCCTCTCAGCTGCAGCAGAGAGACAGCCAGCAGCTATCATGGCAGGCTGGCCCACTCCTCTGACCTCCATACGGAGGGATGTGAAGCTCTAGGGGTGAAGAAGCGATCAAGTCACGGTGCATGTTATCTGGGCAGTGCTGGAAGGTGCAGCTCTTCAGCTGCTAGACATGCTGTGTGCATGCAGCATAGTATGCAGGAGTAGAGATCCTGCTTCTGAGCTCCTCACCACCGGTGGAACCTGGGCATAGGAGAAAATGCAACTCTGAGCTTTTTAGTCTTGTTCTGATTTGGAAGGTGAATCAAGCAGGTTTACTTTTAGTAGTTAAACCACACATTACACAGGTGTTGGACAGAGAAGCTCGGCTCTTCATGTGCCCACCTATGATTTTCTTTTCCCTTCTCCTATCTGACTCTCCATGTCTCTAAGTTTTTAGGTACGAAAGTGAATGTTCTCGTTTCGGAACCATCTGTGAGTTGTGTAGTGTGGGAGAATGACAGGAGGACCTGGGCCTGCTTCTGTTACCTCCATGCAGTAATAGGACTGCTGCCAAAGTATCACTGGGTCTTTTCAGTCTTCACAACGGAGAACTCTTGGCCAAGGGATTTTGGGGAGAGAAGGGGGGAAGCCAGCTAAGGTTAAAGTTAATACCAGATGGTGCCCCTCATCAGTGTCCCTTTAAAAAACATATATTGTAGTTCAATAACATAGCACTGTACAAAATGACCAAAATAGTTCATCTTCAAAATCAGACTGATTTTTGAAAAGTAGAGGTTTTTAATCAAAACTGGCTTTATAGGGGCAGCTGGGTGGCTCAGTTGTAAAGCACCTGCCTTCGGCTCAGGTCATGATCCCAGGGTCCTGGGATCAAGCCCCGCATTGGGCTCCCTGCTCGCCGGGAAGCCTGCTTCTCCCTCTCCCACTCCCCCTGCTTGTGTTCCCTCTCTGTCAAAAAAAAAAAAAAAAATCTTTTTAAAAAGTAGCACATATGTTATGTTCCTATAGAGACAGTTTTTTTTTTTTTTTAAGATTTTATTTATTTATTTGACAGAGAAAGACACAGCGAGAGAGAGAGCACAAGCAGGGGGAGTGGGAGAGGGAGAAGCAGTCTTCCCGCTGAGCAGGGAGCCCGATGTGGGGCTCAATCCCAGGACCCTGGGATTGTGACCTGAGCCGAAGGCAGATGCTTAACGACTGAGCCACCCAGGCGCCCCACATATGTGCTACTTTTTAAAAACAATATGTGTGTGTGGGTATGTTGTTGTATGATTGAGCCCACTCATCATAAATCTAAACTCATTAGGATTAATGTACTCATGCAGACTAGCTAAATAGTATGTAGATGAGATCTCAGTTCTAAATAGAAAAACCTAATTCAGTGAAGTCTGTATCATCCCTCAAACAAAAAAAGAAAAGAAAAAGTCTGAGACTCAAAGGTTAAGAACCACTAATTTAGTGGAAGAAGCATGAATTCTGGAGGTAGCTTCATCTCAGGTTTGCTAATGTGTACCTACGTGACGTAGGGCAACTTTCTCAACCACTCTGGACTCCAGTTTCCTCACTTATAAAATGAAAATGGTATGTTAATTCACAATATAGAACACTACGCAGGAATTTTTAAAAATGAAGTGGATCTATATGCCTTTATCTGAAAAGAGCTCTAAGTTGTTAATAAAAAAAGTCACAGAACAATACAATACATATAGAATGATTTCAGTTATGCACAAACTAAAGATAAAACTATATTTACCTAAATACATAAACACAAAGATTTAAGTGCAAATTCTCCAAAAACAGTCTTGAAAAATACATGCTGAACTGTTAATGCTAGTTACTTCTAGAAAGAAGAGTGGAACTAAAAAGGTCTTAAAGGGGACCTTAAAGTCTGTATAATTTTGTATTGTTTGAATTTATAGGTATGTATTAACTGTATAACTTTTACATTATAAAAACAATATAAATAATAATACCTATACCTCAAGAATAGTAACAACAATGAAATAAGATGATACATGTAAAACATCCAGCACAATGTCTAGTCAATAAATATTACTTCCCCTTCTGTTTTTCTCTTTCTAATCAAATGAGATAACCAGTCTTGAACTTTAAATAATAATAATAATGACAGCTAATCTTTGCAGAAGACTTAAAATTTACAACTATTTTTCACATACATTATCTCCTTAATACTTTCATTTTACAGAATAATTGACAGACTAAGGAGGTGAAATGATTTTTCAAGTTTCTAGAGCTAAAAGTGGTGAAATCACTTCTGACTCAAAATTCTCACTTCCTTTTATCGCATCCGTAAGTATTTTATCATCCAGAATGCCCACAAAGTAGCTGGATTCAGTCCCCTCAAAAGCCCTAGATCTCAGGTGAGAATCACCCAAGTGCCTCTCAGGCCTGTACCTTGAACACAGGATCACAGTCGGCCCCAGTGAGCTCAATGACATAGTCTAGGTCTTGCTGGACAATGAAACAGCTTCCATCACCTAAAAGTCAAAAAGAAAAATTTAGATAACTAAAGAAAAAGCTGCACGCAAAGAGGCTTCAAAAAAAAAATCAGTATTTTAGTTTATTTCTGTACATCACGAACCTAAAGAAGATCATCCTAAGACCCAAAATGGCAAACAGGTCTCATTATGTGGGTCAGATATGAGGATCTACAGTGGCTGCCTAGAACGCTGGGTTAGAGGATTTGAAGTACAAGTACAAGCTCAGTGGGAAGAAGGGCTGTCTTTGATTAGCAATACCTGCCAAGGGCACGGAGCAAGCAACTGCAGGCTTATACATCTGATTGCAAACTTACCCTGGACAATGATTTTTAACAGGGAATTGTATATATAAATGTTTTAATGTGCTCCCAAATTATTCTTCAATCTATAAACTTGACCAGATACATGAGGCAAAGGAGCAAAGTTGTTACACCGAGAAAATAGAAGTATATTTATTTATTTATTTTTTTAAAGATTTTATTTATTTATTTGACAGAGCGAGACACAGAGAGAGAGGGAACACAAGCAGGGGGAGTGGGAGAGGGAGAAGCAGACTCCCTGCTGAGCAGGGAGCCCGATGCGGGACTCGATCCGGGACTCCAGGATCATGACCTGAGCTGAAGGCAGTCACTCAACCAACTGAGCCACCCAGGCGCCCCAAACTTAATTTTCTTAAAAGACCATGGACAGATGAGACTAGGGATGATCTGTAAACTGCTGAATAAGGTAATTTTTTTTTGTTATTGTTTCACTTAATATAAAAATAGTACATGCTAATTGAAGAAAACTTTAAAAACAAAGAAACAGAAGTAAAAAAAAAAATCACTCAATCTACCACTCAAAGATAACTACTGTTAACATTTTTATATATTTTTCCAACCCTTTTTGTGCAGATTTTTATTTTACATGGTCGAGAGCATACTGCATAAAAGAATATCTTTATGCATAAAGTTTTTCTGTATCAACATTGTGACTCTGTAAAGAATCCAGGAAAAAAAATTTTTTTAATTAACCTTTCCAAGCTTTTTAAAATTTGAAAAACTGCTGTCAAAAACAACTGTTTATTTATTTATTATTTTTAAAGATTTTACTTATTTATTTGAGAAAGAGAGAATGAGAGACAGAGAGCACGAGAGGGAAGAGGGTCAGAGGGAGAAGCAGAAGCAGACTCTCCGCTGAGCAGGGAGCCCGATGTGGGACTCGATTCCAGGACTCCGGGATCATGACCTGAGCCGAAGGCAGCCGTTTAACCAACTGAGCCACCCAGGCGCCCAAAAACAACCGTTAATTAATTTTATCTGTTAATCTGTACCCCAACCAGCAGCATACAGGAAGACCTTATTCTTTCTTGTATTATTATTAAAAATCATCTTTTTTTAATTTAAACTGTACTTTATTAAGTAATCTGTACACTCATCATGGGGCTCAAACTCACAACCCAAGATCAAGTGTTGCACATTCTACCAACTGAGCCAGCCAGGCACCCCAAAAATCATCTTTTAAATAAAAGAATTATTATTTTTTAGAAATATTTATATAAATATTGACAGGTGAAATAATACAATGTCTGTAATATGTTTCAAAATATTACAACGGTTGGGGATTATAAGGGAATGTGTAAAACAAGATGAAACAGGATTAGCTATAAATTGATAATAGTTGAAGCCAGATGATGGGTATATCAGGTTCGTCATGCTATTCTCTCTACCTTTGTATCTCTTTGACAATTTCCATAATAAATTTTCAAAATTGTTTAATCTGGTAATTTCAATCTCCTCTCTAGTGAAAGAGTTCCAAAGGACCTCAAAGATCATCTATATCCAACTTCTAAACTAGTACTAAATTCCCTTCACAACACCTTGCAGAGCAGCCAACCAGCCTATGCTTCTCCATCCCGAGTTAGTAGTGCTCTCTAAAATGCCAGCTCTCTCTTACTTATATTCAACTGAAATGTAGCTCCTGGTAACTTTCTTTTATTGGTCTTAGTTTCATCCTCTGAAAACAGTTATATTATGATGAATAAGGCACAGTCACTACTTTCAAGGAGTCTGGACTGGAGGGAGATATAGACAATCACAGTGTAGAGTGATAAACACTATATGATAAATACAATATGCCAAAGAATCATGGAGGACCATGCCCCTAGCCTCACCATAGATCATGCATTTAAACCTATGTTTATTTATTTTTAGAGAGAGAGAGAGGGCATGAATGGGGGAGTAGGGGTGAGATGCGGGGATAGGGGCAGAGGGAGAGAGAATCTTTTTTTTTTTTTTTTAAGGGGGGCAGGGAGAGAGGGAGAGGGAATCTCAAGCAGGCTCCACGCCCAGCATGGAGTCCAACACGGGGCTCATTCTCACAACCCCAAGATCATGACCTGAGCCGAAATCAAGAGTCACACACTCAACCAACTGAGCCACCCAGGCGTCCCACAAGACAGAATCTTAAGTAGGCTCCACACAGCATGGAGCCTGACGTGAGGCTCAATCTCATGACCCTGGGATCACAACCTGAGTGAAATCAATAGTCAGATGCTTAACAGACTGAACCACCCAGGCACCCCTAACTCTATGTTTAAATAAACTACAGGAAGCCATCGTTGTCAAGGGGCCCCTGCACCCACCTTGGCTAGCAATGAATCCATCTCTGAAACTCAGGAGGGACAGAACTGGTGCTCCTGATCTGTGGATGACTTGTACTGGAGCCCTGGAATTCAAAGAAAAAGGGGCAATTGGACTTCTTTTCTTCAAGCAACACTTGACTATATTCAACATATAGTACTAACCACACAAAAGCAAACAGGACAAATGTGGACAGAGATTAAACATTCATATAGTTTCTTTCCTGGCAAGATCCTTAAATAGTAGATCCAGGAAATCGCTCAAAACCACCTTGGAGTGAAGTGAATATAAACATGTCTCTAATTAAACAGGTCATTGAGCTGAATGAACTAAGTCACCACCAATAACTCCAGTTTTTAGGGGAGGCCTGACAGAGTTTAAGATACCACAATGTTAACAATATGTTAATTGTTTTGCTTACAGACACAATTAAGACAGTTGCGAGAGTAAAAAAAAGACAGTTGTGAGAGTTAAAAAAAGACAGTTGTGAGATATTACAAATGTCAGGACTCTTTGAAATGAAAGAGAAAGGTGAGTGAGAATCAATTTAATATATATGTAAGCTGATTTTCTTTCTTTTTTTTAATCTTAAGTAGGCTCTACACCCAATGTGGGGCTCAAACTCATGACCCCAAGATCAAGAGTTGCACACTCCACCAACTGAGCCAGCCAGGTGCCCCTGTAAGGCTGATTTTCTTCTTTTTTTCTTTAATATTTTATTTATTTCTTTGAGAGAGAGAGAGCATGAACAGGGGGAGCGGAAGAGGGAGAAGCAGACTCCCCATTGAGTAGGGAGCCCAACATGGGGCTCGATCCCAGGACCCCAGGATCATGACCTGAGCCGAAGGCAGATGCTTAACTGACTGAGCCACCCAGGCGACCCGGCTGATTTTCTAACAGCGATCAGAGATTCCCTGAATCTCCACAGAGTCAAAAACAAGAACAAAAGTAAAGTAATTTAAATTATGGAAGAAATGGTAATAAGCTAGTCACCCTTTACTGGAATTTTTTTTTTTTTAAAGATTTTATTTATGTGACAAGAGAGAGACAGCAAGAGAGGGAACACAAGCAGGGGGAGTGGGAGAGGGAGAAGCAGGCTCCCTGCTCAGCAGGGAGCCCGATGCAGGACTCGATCCCAGGACCCTGGGATCATGACCTGAGCCGAAGGCAGATGCTTAACAACAGAGCCATCCAGGCACCCCCTCACTGGAATTTCTTTACTGCTCTTGGAATAAAGTCCAAACTCCTTCGGATGTTACCCAAGTTCCTTTCCTGTCTGGCATCACTTCTCACTGCTACCCTGTCTGCAGGATATGTATTTGTCATATTGAAATACACAAGGATCCCTGAAAGTGCCATACTTCCACACGTTTTCACGCTTCTCTATATGCTCTTCTACCTAGGGCAGACACCTCTCTTCATTTGGTAACTTCCTACTGGACAAGATCCAATTAAAGCTTCATTTCCTTGGAGAAGCAGTCCCACCTTCTTCTTTCTTTTTCTCAGTGCTTTCTCAAATTCCTGTGTAGAGCCCTGTCAGCCCACCAATCACACTGTATCACCAACGTCTTTTACTTGCCCATCTTTACTGTTAGACTCCAAGTGCCTCAAAGGCAGAATCTGTATCTTTTATTTCTGCTTTTCAGTGCCCTACACAATGTCTGGTGCCCACAAAAGCCATTCAATAAATGTCAAGTGAACAAAAGAAAGGAAATGGAAGGAGGAAGGGACAGAATTGGAGAAATAGTTAAATCCTGGGATGGAGAGGTTGTGTGATTCTCTCTGGGTATCTTTAAGACCAGAATAAAGCCTGTTTCAGACAGGTTATGATCAAAGCCAAACAAAGAAACACAGCTGGCTTACTTGAACTAAAAATGATCAATCTTAGGCCAACCCAGATTTAATACCACTGAGAAAATTACTGAGCTCCTTAAAATTAAAAGTTCTATACAATCATTTTAAGTGAAATGTTAGTTCATTATTTAAGCTTAGATTCCAAAGTCATCACTACAATAGGACAATCATGACAGCATGAATCAAATTACCTTTTAATACGATTCCAGGAATAATAAGAACAATCAGACAACTCACACCGGAAAACCTTTATAAATGGAAAAATATACCCTTGATTCAACAGTCATCTACATGCCATGCTAAATCACTGTTAAAGCTAATAAAAATTTCCACTCTGTAGAAGACCTGCATCATGCAAATGAATGGTGACTCACCTTGGACTCCTCACGTCCAGCTGATAAATGTTTCCATCCTGTGTCCCAGCCAACAGTAAGAAGCCAGAGAGAAAAGTGCAGCAGTTGAAGGCATCTGAGCCAACAAAGAAGAACACCTGGAAACAAGCAGGAGCCAAAACTGCTGCTTAAAGATTAATTTGTTTTCAGAAATAAACAGGCACCAAAAAAGAGAAAACTTTCCTATTTTTAGAGACATTTTCTTTCTTCTCCCTTTAAGCACTCTGCATCTAAACTAAGTACTCAGCAACAACTGAGGAGGAAGCCCTTCCAGGAATCTGGGGACCTGAGGTTCCCCAAGGACTTTGGCAGTGTATGTACGACCACACCCAGAAGAGGCAGCAGTTTTCAGACTACTGCCCCTCAACACACTGACTCACAGGACTCTCAGTACCCAATATCTTTCTCCTCCCACTTCTCATTACAACCCTCCATTTGAGAAACACTTGCAATTCACACATTTAAATTTTGTTTCATGTCACTGCTGACAACCTTTTGAAGGGAGCCTCTATGTAGGAAAAGAAACAAGCTTAAATAAAGTGGCAATTTGAAGAACTAGAATTCTCCCCACTTGCCTGAAAAAAAGGAATTACCAGATTTTTATTTACTCTCTACTGTTAGCTCAATCTGATCATTTCTCCCTCAAATGTTCTAAAAAGGAAAGAAAAAAACCAAACCTGGCCCAACAAACAAAACCTGTGATTTCCCTTCAGAAGGAAAAGCAGTGCAGAGGTGATACAATCAGAATAAGTGATGTTCCTGGAATGTCATTTCTGAAAATGGAAACATCACTAGAATATGAAGTAACAAGGAGAAATGAAAATACAAAACCTGTGGCCAACCCAAATCATTAAAGTTGTCTGGGTGAGGTTGACAGGAGCTGGAAAGAAATTTTAAAAATCAAATCCCAGGGAACTCCGGGCTTAATGAAGAGTACAGTGTGCCCAGCAAAACCTCAGAGGCAGAAGGAAGAAAATTCAACTAATTCTTCCATTAAAGACATTCTGGTCACTAATTGATCAAGAGCCCTGAATGCATGAGTCCTTGACTCAGAATTTCTTCACGTTACCTTGGATATGGAAGGGAATCTACACAACCTCATTTTATACATAGCGCACTAAGGCCCAGAGAGAAAGTGACTTAAAGGTCACAAAGAAGTAGAGCGTTTAATCCTCATCATATAACCCTACAAGGTGAGTACTACTATGCCCAGTTTAGTGATAAGGAAACTGAGGCTCAGAATGGTTAAGTAACCTATTAAATATCACAGCCATTGTGGAAGAGCTAGGACGTGAATGTCGTCCTTACTCCAAATTCCATGCTCTTAATCATTACACTCTATTACCCCTTACTCCTGCAGCTTTCTCAAAAGGTGAACACAGGGAGCAAGCAGAAATGTTTCCAAAACCACTTTCCAAAAATCAGAGTGATCCAGGATGCCCCAGAGGTCAAAAGTCTTAGAGGAAGCACTTGCCGGCTGCCTGCTCTGCAGTCCCAAGCACTGAAGTTTCTTATCCTCCCGTGCCAATAGCAGCATTTTCGACTCTGTTCCAACCTCCCGTTCACCTGCAGGACAGATAAACCATGTCAACAATGGGCTAGGCTGATCAGCTGGCAGTGCCAGAAAGCATAGATCCTGATAGCTGTTTACTGAATTCTTGTTAGTGATTAACTTACTAACTTAAAAAAAACTTTTATTATGTTCTATATCTTGACTGTATTGTTTATGTGACTGTACACATTTGTCAAAACTCACAGAACTGATAATTTAAAAGGGTGACTTTAGGGCACCTGGCTGGCTCAGTTGGTAGTGCATGCAACTCTTGATCTCAGGGCTATAAGTTCAAGCTCCATGTTAGGGATAACAGATTACTTAATAAAATAAGTTATTATTATTTTTTAGACTTTATTTATTTATTTGAGAGAAAGAGTACACATGGGGAGGGGCAGAGGGAGAGGGAGAAAGAATCTGAAGCAGACTCCACACTGAGCGCAGAGCCCAACACAGGGCTTGATCCCACAACCACAAGATCATGACCTGAGCAGAAACCAAGAGTCAGATGGTCAACTGACTGAGCCACCCAGGTGCCTCTAAATAAGTTAATTAAAAACAAATAATAAAATAAAATAAAAAGGGTAACTTTTACTACATTAAGTCCTTTGCAATGTGACATGATACTGTATTAGGAGCAGGGGTACAATGTTGAACAAAACAGTCTCTGACCTCAAGGCTCTTATGGTCTGGAGTAAATGAAATTTATTCATTCACTAAACAAATCTTTAATGAGGGTCTACTATGTATCAGACACTATTCTATGTGCTAAGGAAATAGTAATATACAGACAGGGTCCTTACTCTCAAGAATTCTAGTGGAAATAGGAAATAGTGGAATAGGTAAATAAACAGGGTATTTTCAGACAGTGATGAATTCCACAAAGGAAATAAAACAGGAAAATCTAATCAATAGTGAGTAGATGGTGGAAGGCTGAGTGAGGAAAGGTAATTTTAAATTTAAACTTTATCTGTAAAAAAACCCCATGAAGGGGTACCTGGGTGGCACAGTCAGTTAAGCATCCGACTCTTCGTTTTGGCTTAGGTCGTGATCTCAGGGTCATGAGATCGAGCCCCACGTGAGCTCTGTGCTCAGCGTGGAGTCTGCTTAAGACTCTCTCTCCCTCTGCCCCCACCAAAAATAAATCTTTTAAGAAACCCCATGGAAGGGCGCCTGGGTGGCTCAGTCATTAAGCGTCTGCCTTCGGCTCAGGTCATGATCCCAGGGTCCTGGGATGCAGCCCCACATCGGGCTCCCTGCTCGGCGGGAAGCCTGCTTCTCTCTCTCCCACTCCCCCTGCTTGTGTTCCTGCTCTCTCTCTCTCTCTGTCAAATAAATAAATAAAATCTTTAAAAACAAAAAACCAAAAACCCCATGGAGGCCACTTTTCAACTGAGACCTGAATGGTAACCAGAAGCTAGTCGTGCAAAGAGCTTTGCAAAGTATGGGCAGTATGACATGAAGCTGGAAAGGAATGCGGAGGTCAGAAAGTGTGTTTGTGATAAGCCAAGTGAAGTGGATAGGATTTTAATATAAGTATAAAAGGAGGTCACTGGAGAAGAGTAGGGACAAAGGAGAGCAACATGACTTGATTTGTGCTTTTTTTAAATGACCACAAATGGTTGCTCTGAGGAGAATGGATTATAGGAGACTAGCACACGGGCACGTGGGTGGCTCAGTCAGTTAAGCATTTGCCTTTGGCTCGGGTCATGATCTCGCGGTCCTGGAATCAGGCCCCGAGTCGGGCTCTCTGCTCTCCCTCTCTCAAATAAATAAATAAAATCCTAAAAAAAAAAAAAAATATATATATATATATATAGGGCCCCTGGGTGGCTCAGTTGGTTAAGCAACTGCCTTCGGCTCAGGTCATGATCCTGGAGTCCTGGGATCGAGTCCCGCATCAGGCTCCCTGCTCAGCGGGGAGTCTGCTTCTCCCTCTGACCGACCCTCCCCCCTCTCATGTGCTCTCTCTCTCTCATTTTCGCTCTCTCAAATAAATAAATTCTTTAAAATATATATATATATATATACACATATATATACATATTTTCATTTAAATTACTTTAAATCGGGATGCCTGGGTGGCTCAGTCGGTTGAGTGTCTGCCTTTGGCTCAGGTCGTGATCCCAGGGTCCTGGAATTGAATCCCCATGGGGCTCCCTGCTCCTTGCTTAGTGGGGAGCCTGCTTCTCTCTCTGCCTGCTGCTCCCCTGCTTGTGCACACTCTCTCTGACAAATAAATAATAAAATCTTTAAAAAAATTACTTTAAATCAACGAATTTTTAAAAACTTAACCTTGTTTTAAGTAGTATTTGTGGGATATATTAGGTTTGAAGTAAAATGTGTGTGGGTTAAATATATAACTATTAAAGATGTGTACTGCTTGAAATTATCTTGTTTATCACTAATTGCACATGTATCACACTTTTTGGGAAAAAGACTCATCCTATTAATTCCAAAGAGAGTTCAGGGAACATCTGGTGGTCAGCGATAGTTTTAGTTCTTGGACCACAGTACACCCACATGAGAAGTTTAAGGGAGAGTACTTACAGTGTGTCAAAAGTCAAGGGCAAAATTAACCCAAATCAGTTGAAAACATATGTTCACATAAAAACATGCACAGAGATATTTATAGCAGCTTTTTTCATATTCGCCAAAACTTGGAAGCAAAAAAGATGTCCTTTAGTAGGTGAATGGATAAATAAACCGAGGTACATCCAGACAATGGAATATTATTCAGTGCTAAAAAGCCTTAAACAGGTATGGAGGAAACTTGAATGCTTATTACTAAATGAAAGAAACCAATCTGAAAAGACTACACAGTTTATGATTCCAACTGTGACATTCTGGAAAAGGCAAAATCATGGACACAGTAAAAATATCATTATTTGCCAAGGGTTATAGGAGAGGAATGGATGAATTGGTAGAGCACAAAGGATTTTTCAGGCAGTGAATCTTCTGTATGATACTATAATAGATACGTCATTATACATTTGTCCAAATCCACAGAATGTACAATACCAAAAATGAACCTAATATAAATTATTTGAGTGATAATGATATGTCAATGTAGGTTTATCAATTGTAACAAATATACCACTCTGGTGAGGGATGTTGATAAAACTGATAATCAGGGAGGCTGTCTGGAGAGAGGGTGTATGCACAAGTGTGAGCGGGTGGAGGGGCAGAGGGAAAGCGAGAGAGAGAATCCTTTTTTTTTTTTTTAAAGATTTATTTTTTTGACACAGAGAGAGCGATAGCGAGAGCAGGAACACAAGCAGGGGGAGTGGCAGAGGGAGAAGCAGGCCTTCCGCTGAGCAGGGAGCCCGATGCGGGACTCAATCCCAGGACCCTGGGATCACGACCTGAGCCGAAGGCAGACGCTTAACGACTGAGCCACCCAGCCACCCGAGAGAGAGAATCCTTAAGCAGACTCTGCACTGAGCGTGGAGCCCGACATGGGGCTCAATCTCATGACCCTGAGATCACAACCTGACCCAAAACTAAGAGTTGGACACTTAACCAACTGAGCCACCCAGGCACCCCAAAAACTGCACTTTCTGCTTAATTTTGCTGTACACCTAAAGTTGCTCTAAAAAATAAAGTCTTTCCTTAAAGATTTTATTTTTAAGTAAACCTTACATCCAATATGGGGCTTGAATACACAACCCTAATATCAAGAGTCACACATTCCACTGACTGAGCCAGCCAAGTGCCCCTAAAGATTTTTTTTTTTAAAGATTTTATTTATTCATTTAAGAGAGAGAGAGACAAAGAGAGCACAGGCAGGGAGAGAGGCAGAGGGAGAGGGAGAAGCAGACTCCCCTCTAAGCCGGGAGCCTGACGTAGGGCTCGATCCCAGGACCTGGAGATCATGACCCCAGCCGAAGGCAGACACTTAACCATCTGAGCCACCCAGGTGGCCTTGCCCCTAAAGATTTTTTTTTAAGTAATCTCTACACCCAACATGGGGCTCAAACTTATAACTCAGAGATCAAGAGTTGTATACTCTACCAACTGAGCCAGCCAGGGGCCCCCCACTACTACTACTCTTAATCCAACCTCTCACCCAGCCAAACATATGTTTCTTACCCAACAGTCAATTTCACCTCCAAACTATTTTAATGTGAACTGCCCCTAGCCCTACACCCAGCTCCCATTCTCCCATCCTTCCCATTCTTGTCTATTCAACTCAAATTCATCCTCCAAGGTTCAAGTCAACTTCTTTGTGACACCTTTCTCATCTACACTAACCTAAAATATAAAATACTCAAAACTATTTTACTTGCATTAAGAATTATTAAGTTGTTTCACCTAAAATTCTTTTGTTTTTTATAGGCATCAGTCTCTGCTAAACTAGATTGTACTTACTCAAATGTAGTTAACAATGACATATACTTCCTCTGTAGATTCCAAAGCAATAGAAACATAGTAGGTATGCATTAAATATTAAACTTATGGTGAAAATACAAATACCAGACAAAAAGCAGGGAAAGATGAGGAAAAAAAGGAGAAGCTAAGGCAAACACTGAAGGTTCCTAAGGAAACAAAACAAGCTCAACATATCATTATCAACTTACTTGGCGTCTGCTCAGGGGAGCCGAGGTTTATGGAGTTGTCAGCAGCACCCACAGCCACTCCATTAATGGAAGAACCACAGTCTGCAATGACTCCCAGGCAGGCTGAACGCCCACAATCCCAAAGTCGTGCTGTCCCATCTCGAGAACCAGACACCACATTCCTCCCCCGATCAACAATGGCTGTATCTAGAATACCTGGCAAGAGAAAAAAAAAGCCCCTAAGATGGAATGGGTGGTAAAGAAACTACAAGAGCAGAGTGCCTGGGTGGCTCAGATGGTTGAGCGTCTGCCTTCGGCTCGGGTCATGATCCCAGGGTCCTGGGATCGAGTTCCGCATCGGGCTCCCTGCTCCTTGGGAGCCTGCTTCTCCCTCTGCCTCTCTCTCTCTCTCTGTCTCTCATGAATAAATAAATAAAATCTTAAAAAAAAAAAAAAGAAACTACAAGAGCAGAGAAGATGGATCGGCATAAATGACTCCAGTGCTTCACAAACGTGTACTGCATATGTACTATATGCTGAGCAAGTTCAAGTGCTAGAAAAACAGAACAGAGTCCTTGCTTCCCAATGGTTCAAAGACTAGCCCTTAGAGACAGACATGGAAAAAGGTTTGGATTTCTTAGTGGAGTGTCCTAGAACAGTGATTTTCAGTTTTAATTTTGCCTTTAAAATGTGTTTTAAATAAAAATTAAGAAGACATCTTAGTTCAGTTTGAAAGTCACTGTCTTATTGCTTCCACTGAGAACTAACTGAAAGGATTAATCTCTCCATCTTAAAAAGATGTGACTTCTGGTCTGGCCAAGTGACAGTAGCCCCATTTCTCTCAGGTCCTTCCCCTTATAACTGAAAAAAACCTGGACATAAGACAGGAAGTATAAGAAGACTGAGGGGTACCTGGGTGGCTCAGTCGTTGGACGTCTGCCTTCGGCGCAGGTCATGATCCCAGGGTCCTGGGATTGAGTCCCACATCGGGCTCCCTGCTCAGCGGGAGGCCTGCTTTTCCCTCTCCCACTCCCACTGCTTGTGTTCCCTCTCTCGCTCTGTCAAATAAATAAATCTTAAAAAAAAAGACTGAAAGATGGAAAGAAGGTCACCTAGGGACCTGAGGACTTGAAGAACAGGGTAACAAATTCCCTGAATTTCCTTATTGCTTCCCATACATCCTGGATAGGATACTGCAGAAGCCTCCAACAAGGAATTGATTAAAAAACAAACAAACATGCACAAATTTAAAAAAAACAAAAACAAAACAACCCAAATCCAAGAAATGTCTGTTGCAAAAGACTGGAAAAGGGGTGGCCTAACAGAAAATGTTGGCAATTTACTCAAATAGCAAGAGAAAAACTGCTACTTCCCCTTCCCCAAGGTCAGTGAGGCTAAATAGGGAGTGCTCTTCTACCCTACTCCCACTGAAGCAGGAGGCAGCAGTCCAATTCCCTTGACCCTCGACAGTGATCAGGCCCAGCAGGGTGCTGCCAGCAGGGTCCAGTAGTGAGCTGAGCCCCTACCCTGACCTGGCAATAACAGGTGGAAAGAGAAAAAACAAAGTAGTGGGAAGTAGCACTCTAGTTTCTCCCAACCCCCTCTTACAATATAGTGGCAACTCGTTTGGGTCTCTTCACTCTTAGATGACAAGAATAAAAGAAAGAGGAACCCTACAGGAGCTGGAACCTATGACAAATTACTCTAGAAAGAAGCTATGAAAGTAGTAGGCAGCTCTTGTAAGAGAAGCTGCCAGAGCAAAGACCTACCTGAAGCCACAAAGGCTTTAGCTATCAAACCAAACTGATACAAGTCCTCAAGATAAAAACCAAGATAAAAAAGCATTTGCCTTCAAGAAAAGATTCAGCTGAATCACATATAAACATCCTAGCCAATGTCTGGGAAATAAGAATGTTAAGTGAAACTATGACTAAAATAAGTATTAATAAGAAATAGAGCAACATTTATATACCTAGGCATGTTTTTAACCAATTTACTCTATTAAGATTATCTAGTTTTATTATTATCTGAAGCTGGTTTAATGTTGCTAGGAAGCAAACACACACATATGAGGGAAGGGGAAATGTACGTGTGTGTGTGTGTGTGTGTGTGTGTGTGCATGGAAAGAGTAATGGCTGCGACTCAGATCTCAGAAAAAATGAGCCTTGAAGCACCTACTATTACTTGGAGGCAGCATATCCTATTTCAAAGAAAATATAGAATAGTTTGAAAATAATGGCCTAAGTGCTGAAAATGCAACCTGACCTCCTAAAATTATTCTACAAATGTAAGCAGCTTTCCTACCATGGTGAGCAAAAAACTCAACCAATCAACTACAGTGGTATTTCATTTGGCCTCAACGTTTTCATAGATTATGAATGATCTGGTGTTTTTTAGAAATAATTATGATTATTAAATTATTACTCAAAGGATTGTATTATATAAACCTCCAAATTCACCAACCTAATTAAATGCCCTGTGCAATTTAAAAACTTCAAACTAAAGTATACCTTAGAGCTACTTAGAAGACTCATATACAGTAGTCTCCCTTTATCTACACTGTCACTTTCTCTGGTCAAACACGGGACGTGAATCACATCACTTAACCCAGCATATCCACGCAGTATCCATTTGCCTGTCATATATGATAGGTTTGTACGTGTAGGAAAAGATAGTATATACACGGTTTGGTACTATCCGCAGTTTCAGGCATCCACTGGAGGTCTTGGAACATATCCCCCATGGATAAAGGGGGACTACTATATTAGAAAGACAAAACTACTTTTAGTTTATCTTTTCATCAGAAGGATTTAAAAACATACACAAATCTCCTCTCTGCTTGTTAAAGAACACAGTAATCCTTTATTTAGATATAAAATATGTATCTAAAAATATAAGGGAAAACCAATTACATATTAACTAGGATCATATTTGTTGCTACTGGAAAAATTCTATTAGAATTAGAATTAGTCTATTCTATTAGAAATAACAATTTCTGCTTTTCACATATGACAAGTATTTTTGTTAAAACATCACAAAGCTCACCCCCCCTGCCTGGGATTAAAGTTTAGCTTTATATTTTATATGAACAATAACATTTATTGTGCACTTATTATAATACCAGGGATTATGCTAAATCCTTCACACGCATCATCTCATTTAATACTGCTATCCCCATTTTACATGAGGAAACTAAGGCTCAGAATGGTTAAGCAACTTTCTGAGATCTTACAGATTATAGGTGGAAGAATTAAGATTTAAACCAAGATTTACATGTCTCCAAATCCCATGCTTAAACACCCTACATACTGTCTCACTATTATATTTTCATATGCTAGAAGCAATAAGAAAGCCAGGGACTTAATTAAACTAACCAAAGTTTATCCTTTACACAAGATCTTTATACAGAGCTACTTTGTTAGTGTCCTAATGGTTCTTTGCAATAAGCATCAGGCTATGTTCAGTCCAGTGTTCCTGGTGGTTTCTTTTATGTCTCGCTTGCCAAGACTTAACCTAGGCAATAAAAGACCATGTTCACTTTCAACACTCACAATCTTCTTTTGGGGCGGGGGGGCAGCAAAGCAAGGTTTATTGACCAACAGCAAAGTGATCGTACCAAGCTTCCGAGGAGGGAGGGGACCCCAGAGGACTGCCCAACACTCACTATCTTCTGTTTCTCTTATTTAGTCACCACTTGTGAAACCACTAAAGATCATACATGCCGGTAATAATTTTTATTCTATTTTTCATGTAGTTCATGGCCTTTGCTAATAAACATGCTTCAAAATTTTGTAACTAAAGAGATTAAAAAAGGAGCCATACAACGCAACTTGGAATTCATTCGGCTGGAGTGACCCATATGCTGCTAAACTATCAGAGATTAATTTTGATTCTCTGTACTGTGGAAGAACAGGCAACACCAAATCTGGTCTTACTTTACAGAACTACCTGGGCAGGAGCATTCAAGACCTGACAAACATTAGCCTGGATCTGACTTCACGTCATTTCTCCCAGTTTGTCACTTCTATTCAACCTAATAAAATTCCTCCTCTCAAAAAAAAAAGAAAAAGAAAAAGTCAAGAGTTGTTGTATCTAGAGTATCTAGAGAAGCTCCCACCCCAACCTGGGACGTTCTCGTAAGGCCGAAGAATGAATAAAGATTCAATCGGATTCACAAACATTATGTACTTCACTCTAAGCTAAGTGATGCACATGTATTCTTAGGAAGAAATAAAGAACACTGGACGACTTAGTTTTCACATGGTGGGCATACTGCAGCTGCCCAGAGGAATTCCTAGGTTGAGTGTGCATTGACATTGAATATGCATTTTGTTAAGCTCACAGTCATGTCTTGTTCCACTGGAAAACTTCCCCGTGCCTCACAAATTCAGAAGAATGGCCAGATGTGAGGTGAGTACCTCAGGGTTCCTTTAGACCCATTTGGCTTCTGGACTCCCCCTCTATGCAGGCCACTTTGACTCCTCAGACCAGTCAGTTCTTCAGGGCTGAATGTGAGGAAGGCTCCAAATATCTTTTCTATTCCTTCTCAATGCACCTGTGTACTGACAGTCTTAGAAATAACTTTGCTAAGGTTAACATGTATTTGCTAGATGATCTGTATGTAACCTAACAAATCATTATAAAGAAATATTAAAACTTAAAACTCAACCACACAAGCTTTTATAATATAGTCAGGTACACAAAGCAAAAGACTAGCTTAAATACCTTAAGTTTAGGGCAATACATAATTAATTCTCAAGTGAGTGGCACAGATGATGTGTACTATGGTTCCAAAGGAGGGAACAAGGTAAGGAATTATTTGGGGATGTTAATATTTTTTCAAAAATATCCAAACTTGTAAAATAAGAATAACATCACCTTTTTAACATTCCAATTAAGGATAAAACATCTCTAAATTATAATTTTTTTCCCATAAACCAACCAGTTACAAAGGGAAAATGTTCTCATTCTGTCTCTATAACCTGTTATCAACTGGCTATATGGCTAATCCATTTTAAAATCTGAACTGTGACTTAAATCCATAAGAACTGACAGCCAGTACCAAGCTCCATCTTTGATATCTAGTGATGCAGCCATTTGCCACCCAGCTTTTACCATCACCTCAAAGGACTAATAATGAGAAAATGTTGGGACACATTTCTCTCTCTCCTAGCACAAGCAGACAGAACACTGGACGACTTAGTTTTCTGGGGAAGGATTTTTTTTTTCACTTATCAACTGTGGAAAACAACTATCTGTGTATAGCAGTTAATTCTAGATAGCAATAACAAGACTCAGTGTCAAAGGAATTTCTAATCCTCGAGGAAACAGCTCACTTAAATGGTCAGTTAGAGGAATTATTTATCTTTTTGTAGATAACTAGCTTCTGTCTCTACCTTTTTGATTTGTCTCTGGGGATCATTAGAGAAGCCTTTTGGAGAAATCATCCTTCATACCTCCTTTGTGACCTTTGAAGGTCACCACACAGCTAGCATCTTCAGCTGACCAGATCTTCAGCTGGGCATCCATTCCCCCACTCAGAACCACAAGGCCTGATGGGAAAAACCTGCAACAATTCACATCAAACACATGTCCTTCCAATACTCTCTGGAAAAACAAAAGAAAATTCCATGCTAGTTCTCTGTCCATCCCCTGATATTCTCTAACCTGTCATATCTTTGGTCCCTTAAATATCTACATGCTGGGTTTTAAAACTATGGAGGTCCAGAAAGATCTCTTTAGCTCATCTGTATACCAGGTAGTGTTCTAAGAGCTACTTACTCCCTTTTGTGTAGCTCTGGTACAGATGTTATGGATTTGAACTCCAAGGTTCTCACAGCCTCCTTAAGTCTAGTACTACATATAAGGAGCTAAGGAGGCTTGAGGACTCTTTTACTCACCTCTTCTTTTAAAATCCTCTGTATAAGTTGGAGGGGCTCAGCCATATAATCAGTATAACAGCCTACCTAATCTGTTAGCTGATCACTGAAGGCAGTTCATACCAAGGGACCACCCACTTAGACATTCACTGGCCTGGCTTCTCCACTGTTCCAGCCCCAATCTGTTCCGGCAAATCACCAAGATTGAGGATGGTTCTGAGATTAACAAATGGGAGAACAAAGATCAATTGAAGTGTGGTGGTCCTATAAATTTAGAATGCACCACTCTTCTTTCTGTGACCCAGTCTAAGGCTTCCCAGACCACCCTTCATGGATAAGACCCTAAAAGCATATCCAAAGCCTTTACTCTGAGCTCGCCATTGGAAGCCTGCCAGATCTTCATGCTTCCATCAGTACTAGAAGACACACCAAGGCCGCCTCCACTGGAAATGTCCAGGCATGTTATCTGTTCAAAAGACAAAATAACTGCTGTTATAAATAATGAAATGCTCTTTTTTCCCTGAAATATGTTAAAGATCTCCCCTGTTTCACACTCCTCCAAGACTTCTTCAAGCCTATGCTTCCCAGCACAAAGGACATGTGTTTTCACCTGGAGACTGAGGTGTCATCACCTATCTCCTAACAAGGCTAGCGCCAACATCTTTTATTTCTCAAAACAAAAAGATGTTCTTGTAATCATCTATAGTCTCCTGCTTCAACTATAAAGTTTTTACTATCCCCATATCATTTCCATCTTTCGCTATTTTAATTCTTTTTTTAAGATTTTATTTATTCATTTATTTGACAGAGAGAGAGAGAGAGAGAGAGAGCGTGCACAAGCAGGGGGGGCAGCAAGCAGAAGGAGAGGGAGAAGTAGGCTCCCGGCGGTGGAGCAGGGAGCCCAATGCGGGGCTCGATCCCAGGACCCTGGGATCATAGCCTGAGCCGAAGGCAGACACTTAACTGACTGAGGCACCCAGGCACCCCTCTTTTGATATTTTAAAATTAAGATACCTGATTCTTAGGAACCCACATACACAAAAGACAGTCAACTAAAATGTACCAGAAGGATTCAAGGAAAAGCAAAGATGCTTCCAATTTACTACTTCACATTCCCTCTATGAAATACTAATTGTGTGTATGTGTGTATTTTAGAATAAGTAACAAAAAATTCTGATTTATTTATGCAGTTTCAACATTAGCAATCACTTCATGCATAAGCAATGATCATACACATGCATACATACATACCCTTTTTATTAAAAAACACCCAGCTGCAAATATTCCAGAAATGGAGGACTGCGATACATAATCCCAGACATATTCCTGGCAACTAAGGGAAAAGTAGGGTAGGCTTTAATTATCCAATCTTCCATTTTTCTTTGTTCTATGCCAGTTGAACCATAATGAATAAGTTCAGCAAGAACTAAAGGGACATATCTGTCACCTCTAATAACTTCTAAGACTATTTCTTCCTTATTTTGATTCCTCAGAATAAAAGTACTGTCTTTTTTTTAAAGATTTATTTATTTTAGAGAGAGAAAGAGAGAGAGCAAGCATGCACGTGCGCAGGGGGAGAGGCAGAGAGAGAGAAAATCCTCATGCAGTCTCCCTGCTGAGCGTGGAGCCTGATGTGAGCTTGATCTCACGACCCTGAGATCACGACCTGGGCCCTAACCAAGAGTCGGATGTTTAGGCAACTGAACCAGCCAGGTGTCCCAGAACAGAAGTACTATTAACTTAATTGTGGATTCTTTAATTTTAAGGATTATGACAAAAATTAACCTTTATATCATGTTTTATCATTTAGAAAGCATTTCCAAATAACATTATATCATTTGATTTTCATAATAATCCCATTCTGCTCCTAGCTTCCCACTGCTGGGTATTGGAGACACGGAGGTAAATCTGACATAGCCCTGCCTTCACATTCTAGTACAGGAGTACCCAACTATCAGATCTTTCTTCTCCAAACTACTGCTACTATCCTTAAACCTGCCTTAAGTCTGAATACTAGTATCATCAATTAACTTTTCAATTCTATGTCTGGCTCCCCAACTACATGACAAGCTCTATAAGTGTCAGAACAATGTCCTGCACTTTTTTTTTTTTGATAGATTTTATTTTTAAGTAATCTCTACACCCAACATAGGGCTCAAACTTACAACCCCAAGATCAAGAGCTGAATGCTCTACCGACTAAGCCAGCCACGTGCCCCTGTCCAGCACTTTCTTAACACAACCACAGGCTACGTACATAGTAACTACTCAACAAATAACAAACAATAGCAATTTGGTAATAAGAATGAAGTACCTTGGGCGCCTGGGTGGCTCAGTTGGTTAGGCGACTGCCTTCGGCTCAGGTCATGATCCTGGAGTCCCGGGATCGAGGCCCACATCAGGCTCCCTGCTCGGCAGGGAGTCTGCTTCTCCCTCTGACCCTCCCCCCTCTCATGCTCTCTCCATCTCATTCTCTCTCTCTCAAATAAATAAATAAAATCTTAAAAAAAAAAAAAAGAATGAAGTACCTTAACAACACTAGGTAGGTGAGTAAAGCCATCTGACCCGTATCAGTAAGAGCAACTACTGTCCTCATTTGCAGGACCCCAGAAATAACACATTTAAACACTCTCCTACTCACGCTGAAGTAGTTTTAATCCCTAAAGCAACATAGCTCAACCTCTTTCCTGATGCGGGTGCTATCTACTCAACTGCCAGCTAGGCATCTACCTTTGGCTTTATAGTGGTCACCTCAAACTTACCATGTTCAAAACACAACTCTCATTTCCCCCAGCTTCACAACAATACAACTACTTGACCTCAATCAGTAAATAGCACCATAATTTATCCACTTCTTTTGAAAATTCTGGAATGATCCCAACTCCTCATTTTCTCTCACATTTCACATCCAAGTCATTAGCAAATCCTGTCTGGTCCCACACCCCAAGAATGTAGGTGCTACACAACAGTTTTATTCATTGCTATGGTCCCAGTGCCCAGAGTACCTGGATTATAGTAGGTGATTAATAAATGGATACGTCTACCTAATAATGAACTCAAATAAGAGAAAAGGAGACTAAGTAATAGGAAAGGGGCACAATTAGGGCACCTGGGTGGCTCAGTCAGTTAAGCATCTGCCTTTGGCTCAGGTCATGATCCCAGGGTCCGGGGATAGAGTCCCGTGTCAGGCTCCCTGCTCAGCAGGGAGTCTCCCTCTGCCCCTCACACCTGCTTATGCTCTCTCTTGCTCTATCTCTCGAATAAATAAAATCCTTTAAAAAAGGGGACAATTAATAATTTTTTTTAAATGACCTACTTCTCTCAACTATACTCAAATAAAAATAAGTAAATTTGGGGCACCTGACTGGCTCTGTTGATAGAGCATGTGACTCTTGATCTCAGGGTTGTGAGTTCAAGCTCCATGTTGGGCATAGAGCTTACTTTAAAAAAAAAAAAGTAAATTTAATTTAATTTAAAAATGTTGTATATGTATTATATACTGTATTCTTAAAATAAAGTAAGCTGGAGAAAAGAAAAAAAAATGACCTATTTCTCAAAAGGTTTTCCCAGTTCTGCCAAAAAGTTCATCACTTCCTCCCTAGTAGTCTTCCGCACTATGTTCATATATTGTAGTGGTTGTCAATCAGGGGCAAATTAGCTCATCACATTTGGTGATGTCTGGAAACATGTTTAGTTGTCACAGTTGGGGAACAGTCCCCTACAATAAAGAATTACCCAGCTCAAAATGTCAATAGTGCCATGGTTAAGAAACTTTGATGTATTCTATTGTATCCTCTCAGTTAATATATTGTCCCTGGAGGGGACAGAGATATTGTTACCTTAGCTGTTTTACATATCTTTGGAGTCCTAGTTCCTATATCTAAAAAATAATTAAATCTGAACTATTCAGTTCTTCCAAAGTGACAAAACACTGAAGAGTAGATTATAGGCCATTCCAGCTATCTCCTTTCTCCAAACTTTTAAAAAAGAAGAAAGGAGGGCACCTGGGTGGCTCAGTCGTTAAGCGTCTGCCTTCGGCTCGGGTCACGATCCCAGGGTCCTGGGATCGAGCCCCGCATCTGGCTCCCTGCTCGGCGGGGAGCCTGCTTCTCCCTCTCCCACTCCCCCTGCTTGTGTTCCCTCTCTCGCTGTGTCTCTCTCTGTCAAATAAAGAAATAAAATCTTTAAAAAAAAATAAAATAAAATAAATAAAAAAGAAGAAAGGAAACTAACATTTATTGAATAGCTATTATATACCAGACATGTAACAGACATTACCCTCATATAATACCCTCAAAAATCTATTAAGATAGGGGCACGTGGGTGGCTCAGTCATTAAGCGTCTGCCTTCAGCTCAGGTCATGATCCCAGGGTCCTGGGATCGAGCCCCACAGCAGGCTCTCTGCTCAGTGAAAAGCCTGCTTCTCCCTCTCCCACTCCCCCTGCTTGTGTTCCCTCTCTCGCTGTGTCTCTCTCTATCAAATAAATAATAAAATCTTTTAAAAAAAATCTATTAAGATAGGTATTGTTTCTGTTTTTCAGTTGAGAAATCTGAGGTTTAAGAAGTGATTAAGTAATATCCCCAAGGTGACACAACAGAGCCAGGATGCAAGCCTAGGTCAGAATTTAAAGCTAAAGATCCATTTCTTAGTTCCAGCAAAAAAACAGATCAATGGGATAATCCTAATTATTGGATAAATATGACAATTCAAGAGAGCGAGCTATAGATGGATTACTTTATAGTGCCTTGATATGCTAATCATTTCAAAAACAATTAAGTTAGATCCCTACTTTAAACCAAGTAACAAAAATAAAGTTTGAAATGTAGAAAAATAAAACATAAAAATTCAAAGAAAACACTATATTTATAATTTTATTTAACACATATCATGCTTACTATGTTTCAGATCAAATTCTGTTTCAATCCTTGTAACAACCCCATGAGATACTACTTTTACCCCTATTTTACAAATAAGAATCTGTGACATAGAGGGTAAGTACCTGGCCTAAGAGCACAGCAAAAGGCAGAACCAAAATTCAAATCCAATGAGTCAAATCCAATGAGTCTATCACTAGAGTCTGTGCTCTTATCCATTATGCTGTGCAATTAAAAGTGAATATATATATATAGGGCACTTGGGTGGCTCTTTCAGTTACGTGACTCTTGATTTCAGCTCAGGCCATGATCTCAGGGTTCTGAGACTGAGCCCTCCATCAGGCTCCGGTGCTGGGCGTGGAGCCTGCTTAGGATTCTCCCTCTCTCTCTCCCTCTACCCCTCCCCCACCCCTCTCCCTCCCTAAAAAAAAAAAGAAGTGAATATATATAAAATCATGGACTACCCTAAGCAGGACCCCAAAAGTAGTTACCATAAAGGAATAAATTGATGGGCTTTATCATCTACAAATGGACCAAAATAACACCCATAATCTAGTGTATTGCTATGTTCTCTTCACCTGTCTGATCATA